CAAAGGTGAGCAGTTGGTCTTTAATGCTTTGAATAACGTATGTGTGTTGTTCAGGGTTCAGATGATCATTATGTTTATGATAGAGTAATTTTTTTTGAAGCTCCATTTCCTGTTCATATCTGTTCTTGGAAATTTCTTTTGAATAATCATTATATTTCCGAGCTAAAAAGAGTAACCCATTATTAAACCAAGAAATGTATGAATCATGTTTATCTTTAGTTGAATGCCGAAATTCCTACACATCCTCTACATATTTTTTAAAATTTTGACGCTTTAGGATTGAAGTGTTTAATTTGTAAAATCCTCGTCCTTGATCTGTTTTTTTTTGTGAAAAGTAAGCAAAACAACACACATTTTATGATCCGCTCCTGGCTAAGGATTATGAGGAAAGATAGTTGCACCTATCAACGCCCTATCTAACTCTTCTGACATAAGAATCAAATCAATTCTTGATTTGGATTGATGAGGGGAACCATTATTCCGAATACAAGTATATAATCTTTCTTGTGGAAAAAGTCTTCAAAAAGAATCATATAGATTTTCAGAATCACAAAGTTGTTGTATAATCTGCTCATCCTCCTCTATATATGATGGACAGGGTGAAGGAATCCTCCACCTATCCAACCATCTGTCAGGAGCTGCATTGAAATCTCCTGCCACGACTACTGGTATCCCCTCAGGGATATGACTCATAATGTCCTGGAAAAAACGTTTACGTTCCTGAACTATATTTGGGGCATATACATTTATTACACAAATTATTTCAATTTCAAGCATCACTAATGCAACAATCCATCTTCCTTGTTCTTTATCCCCCTCCTAGTGTACTATATCAATATGCGAGTTCGGGGGGACCCATAACGCTACACCTGCAGACCCACTACGTGGAGAGTATGCCTGATACTTCTGATAGGGTCAAACCAACTTAAGGGTCCTACAATGTTTAGGAGTGTTTGAGAGATGGGTTTCCTAGATGCAAATCAAGTCTAGCCAAGAACGACCCCCCACCCCTTTCAACTGCTCCATGATTGATCTTCTCTAAGCGACATCTGCAGTACCCAATCCATTAACGTGTAGAGATCTAAGGTGTAAATTTGTCGTCCTGGTAGCACGAGCCCAAGATGGATTTTTGACATAATATGCATGTAAGGCTTCCATTTATATGGACCCAAGATCTTCCTCATATGATATTCCTAGAGCCTCGCCCAGCGGACTCCTTCCAATGTAGAAGCTGCAGTGAGCAAGCCTCTTTTAAGAACGGAACAGAGGAAAAACACGATTTCTGCAACTGACCATACTGCATTTGCTTTGATCTTCATTTGCTGGAGTTCAAGCAGTGCAGCGTGTGAGTACCACTTAAGTCCGACTTTCTTATTTTCCTCAAAACGTACAAAAAAATCCCTCATAGCCATCTTAGCATGATCTCCTGATTCTGTAAATGTGGCTTGTGACCCTGGATCAAAATGCTTAGCTTGGAAGTCATATAAATCCCTTCTAAAAGTTTTGTGATCTGTGCTTTGGTATTCTGTATATGTAGTCCATCCTCTCAGGGTTATTCCCCCAAAATGTTCTGGCCCAATAGGGGAGAGGTCAATCTCCCACCCAATAAATTCAGGAGATAGTAACCTAAATCAAGGAATAACGGTACCCTAAAATACGACAGAGAGAACAGAGATTCTAACGGCCTAAAAAACCATGCGGCCAATCTTTTCAACAGAGATTTATACTCTAAACCTCATAAGTGAAGATAGTTACGAAAACAGCCTATTTCCGTATGCAGAGAACTGCTAGGAGATCTAGACGATGGCAACTTACATCATTGAGCAACTACACCCAAAATACGACCAGAAACGGAGTTTAAAACCGAAATGAATCCAATCTGTCCTAATGTGATACCCGATGGAGCGTAGCTGCTTTTACAGATCATGTCGACAGCTCGTGTTGGCTGTTCTCAATATCTCCCATAGCTCTTCTTGACTGTTGCCCGTAGTTCGTCATGATGTTCAGAGGAGAAGCCCGCCCCGTGTTAGTGGCCACTCTCCCTTCAACAATGCAGTCAGAGACCTCTGGATGCCGCAGTGTCATTACAAGCGCTCCAAGTTTCCAACTGCCACCGAAAGCTACTCCCACTACTCTCGGTGGCATCACTTCGATGATACTGCAGCCCCCAAAGTAACCCTATGGCTACCCAGGTTCATACTAACTTCCATGCCACCGCACGATTAACTGACCCCGCGAGCAAAATAACCAAGAGCAGACTGGGGGGAGCTACACAAGTATCTGGACAACACTTGAAATAACCAGAGTCAAGCCATGAACAGCAAACAGGAATTCAGAGTGCAAAAAAATAAGTCGGAGCTTATACCTCCTGCCCTAGGGCATGTATGTGTGAACACTGTCTTGGGCCATACTTATCTGCGCAGCACTCCACGCTGTTGGCACCAGGCTCCCGATGCTTCCTTCAATAGCAGCTGCTCCAGCGGTGAGAAAGGAGCCCACCCCCGGGTCGTTGAGTCCGAGGGAAGGGCGGCTCCTCCGGTCTTCAGGCTTCTTCAAACCAAGCTTCCAGCAAGCAGTTTTGGAGTTCGATCGCCCATTTCGTTCGCTGGCCTTGAGTGTGCGACAGACTAACTCAAGTCCAGTAGTTGGAGTAGGAGCTACTAGTGCAGCTCATTACGTGAACGCGACCGTTCCTCAATCCACTCAAGGATTTGAGTTGCAATGAGTTCCTCAATCCAAATGACTTCAGTATAGCTCAACTACCGTAGTAGAGCGAACGGTCTCAGCATCACCTTCATCCGCCACCGTCCATCGCGCACACCTCAGTCACCATGCCCGCGTCGCTGTGCCACATGTAATTATCACGACGTTTAGGGTTAAACACCGCACCGTAGGCTTAGGTACCACTCCCGCCGTTAACGCGAAAGAGTCGCGCTAATTCGATAGCGCACCGGTCGACGGGCGCAAGATCTCCTTTGGGGAGTTCAAACTGAACAGCTTTTGCATCAGGGTCACATCGATTTTTTTTTGCCAAATAAATTTACTAAAAATAGTAAAAAAAAATGTTTTTTTTTTTTTTTTTGGCCCGGGCCACTCCCGTACCCTAGTTACAGATGGTAATGACTGATTTCCACCCCACGCTGTCCAATCAGATGAGGATCAGTGGAATCTCTAGTTCCTTTCCCTTCTGTGCAAGATGTGGTCACACAACGGCAGCTTCCATGCGAACGTGTACTGTACTACTGTGTAGGTGGCTGCCTCTGCAGCATAAAAATGAAGGCTAAGAGAAGTTCTTGTGCACACTTTCCTGCTATACTCGACATTCTCAAGAATGTCCATCCATGTTCAGAGTCTTCAGACCTTTTTCTGTTCTTTTGTCTGGCTGTACTTTTTGCAGCATTTTATGGAGCTCCAGAAAAAAAAAAAAGGATAAAGTTCCGATAAACACTCTTTTGCAACTTGTCAAAAATGAAAACAAAGTTACGGATACCGCACACAAAGCCAAGCATGCACATGTGAAAGAACTTCAACAAAGGCAAGCAAAGTTAGCGGACTGCCTCATGTCAGGCCGACGGGTCCTCTGCTACGAAAGCAGGTACCGCCTCGTTAATCTGCGCAGAAACCTTCCAAAAATATGGTAATAATTTTACCAGTATATTTGCCACAATACCTGCACGGACTGGCAACATTGCTACAATACGTTTGAAAACCGGTATATCTGCCATTTGCCCTGACATAAATTTGCACTATGGTACAACGGTCAGAGATCAGTGGCATTGATTTCCATAAGGAGTCAGGCCATTTTGGAGGGGGACGAGAAGTCCAAACGAACATAAATTTGCACTATGGTACGACCTTCAGAGAGCAGCGATATTGATCTCCATAAGGATTCATTGTAAAAAAAAAAAACAAAAAAAAAAACAGAAGTTTCAAACCATTGTGGGGGGGACTCCGAGAAGTCCAAACGAGGACCGTCACCCTCACAATGGTTGGAGTCCTTATGGAGATAAATGCCACTGATCTCTGAAGGTTGTGTACCATAATGCAAGCGTCAGATGCTGTTCCCAGTGACCTATATGGACCTCTGAGGAGCCGTACTCCAGTGCCCTATCTTTTTTTGGCGGGGTAACTACACGGCGGTCACAAAAACAGTTTGAAATTGCACTTCACGCATTCCCCCGAACATAACACACCCCGTCTTGACCATACCAGACCGGAAAGATAGCTTGTATACATTTGGCATTTTCAGGCCAAATGCCTGGAGCGCAATTTCAAACTGTTTTTGTGACGGCTCCCCCCCTTTTTTTTTAACATCCACCTGGGTCTACTATTAGGGGCAATACAAGCAACCTCTAATAGTAGTGACCCTGGGCAGATGGTTCCGGTGTTCTCAGTCCCGTTATTGTCGTTGTTGTTGTTGTTGTCGTCATTGTCGTCATTGTTGTCGCTGTTGTTGTCGGGATAATTGTAGTTGTAGCAGCTGTAGCAGTGTGAGTGGGTTGCATGTGGTGTGCGGGAGAGTGTTGGCTTTAGAGTCTAGACACTACTGTTACTCGATGGGGTTGGGGGAAGAATCAGAAGATGAAAAGGGAGGCACAGTTACTGGCAAATGCTCAGTCCTTGTGCTAGCGGGGCCCCCACTGGTCGGCCCAACCCTGCACCCTAAACGCTAGGGCAAAAGGGCAAGCATGCCATTATCTCCCTCCACCGAGAGAGGTAACCTCCCTTCACCAAAGAGAGGTAGAAAACTATGCTTGCAGGGGTCCCCTGTGTAGCCTATACAGGAGTAGTGGTAGGTAGGTAGTGAAAGAAAGATATGTTCCATGATGACATGGCAGAACGCCAGTTAAAAGATATGTGAGGTGAGAGAAATATATATATATATATATATATTATGTGAAATTGAAAAATGAAAAACAAAAATTGAAACTGGTGGTGAATTGCACTGATACGGACCGCGCATGTGGTCGGGTTGTGATGTTTGTGCATGTCGTTGACAGTATGTGCTGTACTTCATCTATTTGGCACTTGTCGCACTTGGAGCCTCTTATGCAGGTGAGTTTGTGAGACTTTTTTCAAAGTAATTCATGTTGTACTAGGGCATGATCACACCATGACGTATCGTCTTTTTTTAAGTTTCTTTTTTTAATTTCTTCTTCGCTTAGAGGGGCTGCGGCCTTGGGATATCCTCATTGAACTGACCGGCCCCAGGTGAATCATAAGTATTTTGTTTTGCCCATCTGATTCCATCCGTATTCGAACTTGGGTCTGTGTTGCAACGGTTCATGGGTGTGCCATATGAGCCTAGGCCTGCTGGTAGGACGTATTGTCCTGACTGCATGTGACTGCAAAATGTGGTCAGGTACGCTGAGGAAAGTCCTTGTCTTGTGTGACTATTATTATTATGTCCTTGGAATCTAGAACAGCACTTCAAAACTTACACCTCTGTCCATATCCCTGTTTCCTTTCTCTTCCTCTCCAGCTCATTTATCAACCCACAACTTTTTTTTTAAATAATTGTATTTAATTTGGACCATTTCCCGATTTATGCATGTCATCCTTGCACAGGGGCCATGCTCATCTTCCCTGTTTCAAAGGACTCAACACACACAACTCTAAACTTCTGGAGACACAAAGCTGTGGGCTGTTCTGCCAACTTGGCCTATTTTTGGGGGGCACATGTCAACTTTTCAAGGGTTTGAAGTTTGACTTTGAATTTAACCGAGACTATTCTTTTTTTTTTTTTTTTTTTTAAAGAACAACCAGAGCAGGTGGTAGGGGTTAACCGGGACTATATTCTCTATGATCAGGCAGACGAAGAATGTGAGAGTGTGATTTATTGATGCGGAATTCGTCCACCCGCCTACTGTCTGTCTTCCCCTGAATGCAATGCGCCTTCTTCGGTTTATCATTTATGTGTGTCATCCATGCGCAGGGGCCATGCTAATCTTCTCTGTACCATTCCAATTTTAACGGATGTCCCAAAGGACGCAATGACGCAATGATGCACCTTCTTCATGATGGGGCACTATCGATGAAATTGCAAAAGCAACGATGGAGCAGGGTAATGACGACACTGAAACACAGTGCTTAGATCTTCATTGGGCAGTAAGAGGAAAACAGTACTGACAAGATGGATAGCTTAGGGAGGAAATTTAAAGAGAAAGAAGAAGAAAAAAAAGAGCTAGTAAGCAGAAAGAGCGCAAAAAATCAGAGGTAGACGAATACTTGGGGAACGCTCCGGACAAATGGGCAGGAAAAAAGTACCGTCTAAACTCTATAAGCAACTTGTCAATAAATTGATCGTAGATTTCTGACATTTTATTATTGTGGACTCCTGAACAAGCCCTAAGCTTGAGAAAGTTTATGCTTTTGTGTGTGTGTGTGGGGGGGGGGGGGGGGGGGGGGGGGGGGGGGCAACAACACCCGACGGTGTCTTCCGATCGCAGTCAAGTCAAGGTGAGCAGTCAGTAGTAGCAGTGGCCAGAGCTGGCACGCGCCCAGCGTGTTTTGGACTCAGTAGTTCCATCCTCATCATGGATTACATCAAGCAGTCGCATGTCAGCTCCAGCCCCATCATGGGCTGTATTTGAGAACGAAGTGTTGACCGGAAAACAGGTCACATCGAGAACGAAGGGTTGACCGGAAAACAGGTCACAATGAGAACGAAGGGTTGACCGGAAAACAGGTCACATCGAGAACGAAGGGTTGACCGGAAAACAGGTCACAATGAGAACGAAGGGTTGACCGGATAACAGGTCAGAATGAGAAGGAACTTCAACGAAGAGTTGACCGGAAAACAGGTCACATCGAGAACGAACGGTTGACCGGAAAACAGGTCACAATGAGAACGAAGCCAGGTCACAATGAAAAGGAACTTCAACGAAGGATTGACCGGAAAGCAGGTCACAATGAGAACGAACGGTTGACCGAAAAACAGGTCACAATGAGAACGAAGGGTTGACCGGATAACAGGTCAGAATGAGAAGGAACTTCAACGAAGAGTTGACCGGAAAACAGGTCACAATGAGAACGAACGGTTGACCGGAAAAAAAAGGTTAACGTGGACGGCTTAGCTTTGCGTTCTTTATCTGTTGTAGACATGGAGCGAGAGGACAGTTGACTGCAATGACTACAACGAATATTGAACGCGAAGCTAAGCCATCCACGTTGACCTTTTTCGTGATATGTCAAGGCGGGAAGAAGGGTTGACCAGAAAACAGGTCACAATGTGGTGTATTCTACTAATCTCATACATCCAAATTGCAAAAATTGGAAGACCGTCCTTACGTTCAACTGTTGTTAACTTGTTATCCTTACAGAATAGTAAAGGTCGAAATGAATACCTGTCCAGTGAGATGCCTGTGAATCAGAAAAGTCAAGTAGTCACCAATTTTTTTTTTTTTTTAATAATAAATAGCACACTTTTTTCAAATAGTCATCATGAATTGCGGATGAAGGAAATTTGAAAGCATCATCCGGTAAGCGAGAAGAAAGAGTCTGCAGGGTGGAAAGGTGGACCGTGTGCAGGGGGTGTGGGCGAGAGGAGAGAGGACAGGGCTGATGGGGTAGGTTTTTCCAGATCACCCAGCTGCAGGCCTGCTAGAGGGGGATGCTCATATCACCCCCACAAGCAGACCCCGCCTGAGCGACTTTCAAAAAAAAAAAAAAAAAAAAAAAAAGAACTGTTTTCCAGATCCAACACGGCCTTCAGGGAATGGGCTAAGAATCCTTAAGGTGCAGCTCCCCGCCAATAGACTGGAGCCAGCTTCGATCAGGAGATCTATTCGTGGAGATTGCTCCTTCCGATGTTTTTTTGTAAAAAAAAAAGGAAAAAAAGAAAAAAGGAACCAGTAGGACTCGGCCGCAATAAATAAGTCTGCAAGAATTGCCAAACTCGAAGTAACTTCTTCTTTTTTTTTTTTTTTTTTTTTTTTCAAACTAACTTTCACCCTCAACTTATCCCAAGTCTGCATATCAGCTTGGTACCATCACTTTGAAAAAAAAAAAAAAAAAAAAAAAAAAAAAAAAACCTAGGTATCATCACTGGAAGGTTATATTTCACATTACACTCACCAAAAGGCAAACTTGACCTCAGTTTTCATTTTCTTGAACACTGCGAGCGTTGGCCCCTAGTTTTATGACCCCCCCCTCACACACACAACCATTTCACTTTTTTTTTTTTTTACTTTTTCTTAAATTGATTATACACACTCACACAGAAGTTGACAGAACCAAAGGGGGAAAATAAGAAACAAACGATTTTGGACTTTTCTTTTTAACAAGGAAACCACAAACTTAAATATGTGTGTGTTCTGGAATGATCCTGATGTTCATGGCATGCTGTGAAAAAAAAAAAAAAAAAAAAAAAAGAGAGAGAAAAAAAAAGAAATAGACAGCATATGCAGGGCGTGATGCTATTGAGAGAGTGGAAGGACAAATGGACTGAACGGCAAGAAAATGGTGAAGTTCGGTACGTGTACCGTGTATGCATGATGCCTGCCTGTGCTGTTTCAGAGGTGGCATTCTGGATGCAAACAAGCGATCGGCAGTCATTGAGGCTTCGAGAAGCGTACCTGAGGTCACTGCTGAAGCAGGAAGTGGGGTACTTCGACACGCAGACAGGCACCGGAGAGATCATAAGCCGCATGTGGGGAGATGCGGTTCTTGTCCAAGATGCAATTGGGGAGAAGGCGAGTCTTACACCCCTCCCTGAACTGAACTGAACTGAACTGATGAACAATGAAATACGGACCTACTTCAGTTCGAACTCCACCGGAAGCCGAAGAGTAAACTAGACCAAAATAGTAAAATACTAGAATGCTGAATTAGTATTACCTAAGGCCCGTCAGGTCGATGATGATATCACAAGGGCGTTGCCCTTTGAAAGAAAAAAAAGGAGGAAAAAAAAGCGAGAAAAAAAGAGTTTTACTTCTGCCAGACTCCTCCCCCCCCCTCCTCTCTTTTTTTCTCATTAACCTGTGGTTGAGAGTACGCTTGCTGTTTGTCACCCCTGATTGCCGCACAACAAACTACAGTGCCGTTTTGGCTACAGTTCATCGACCCTTGGTCGTCAATGGAAGCGAATTATGTGTGGGTGGCCCAGACTTAACAGTTCATTATTTAATATTTATGTATGGGTGGCCCATACTTAACAGTGAATAAATAAAGTGTTAAATCTGGGCCACCCATACATAATTCGCTTTTACTGACGTGTAGGCCAGCTGCACTGGTAAACCACCAGTACTTCCTAAAGTTGTGCCGGTTAACAAGCCACAATTTTAGGAAACGTAAGGGCCACTACAGGAGTGGCCAAATGCATCCCGCTAGAAACGCTTCTAGTAGTACTTTCTACTCTATTTTTTTTCCCACGGCCGAGAGCTGGGCCAAGCACTGGTGGTTTAAGTGGAGTTTTATTCTAACCGTCAGCTATTCATAAGTCTGGGCCCCGACTTCACTGGAAGCGAATTATGTATGGGTAGCCCAGACTTAACAGTGTATCTGGGCTGACGTGTAGCCTAGATAAGTTGAAGTGAATTATGGCCAAAAGTGAAGTGAAGCTTTGGAATTTCCAAGTTATGGCCATAACTCACATCCATTGACAGCCGAGAGTGAATAAACTGGCTGACTTTTTTTTTTTTTTTTTTTTTTTTAACTGGCTGACTTCTGGGGGTGCTCCAAACAGTCTGAACACTGTGGACCAATCGTCTTCCGTCTCTTCCTTGCTCCATCCACAGGGCCATCACAGTACGGTGGAGTGGGTGTGTAGAGGATGAGTGTGGTTGGGTACATCCGGTCGCGGGGGGGTTCACAGGATCTCCGTGCTGGGGTGGGGTAAAGTGCTCATCTTGGGGGTTCACTCTCACCCTAGCCCACTTATTAGCCTTACCTTATGGTTAGGTGTTTGCCTGCCAAGCTGCGAGTTGTGTGTTCGAGTCCTGTACTTGTCATGCACAGTAACTGCAAGCTGCAGCCAAGCTGGCGAGAGCGGCATCCAAATTTCTAACCCCATCTTGTGTTTGCACAAAATGGGTGTGTAAGCCTGCGAGGTTAGGTTTGGGTGACAGGGTTCAAATTTCCAAAAGGAGGGGGGGGGGGGGGGGGGGGGG